GAGAAAAATGTCCTCAGCATCAACAAAATCAAAAACATAAAAACAGCTCCAACAAATGCCATACTAAAACAATAACATCACCAAGTTATACGAAACCCAATTTTCTCGAACCTCCCAATTTCTTTCTCTAACTTTCCTTCTTTCCTTCAAAATCTTTTCTCTCTCATCTTTTTCGCATCAACCAGACGCATAATTCATCCGCAGGAGTTGCTGCTGAATTTTCTTGGATCTCTTCGATTTGGTGTGTTTATTGAAGAAGATCGGAACTGTTTTGCAGAGCTTTGTGTGTGTATGTTGGTTGGCATTGTGAAGGTCAAAGCCTGGTTTTGATTTTTTTCTGTTTGTTTCGCGGGATTCTGGGACTGATAATGTTGTATTTGAAGCAGCCAAGCTCCATTATTTGCAAGGGATTTGGTTGTGTTGTTGTAGCGCGAGTAAGGTAATAATTGGAGGAAACTTGTGTTTTTTTTCTGTAGAGATTTGAGGAATTTCGGAATCAGTGCATGTTCTTGCAGTAATTCCCTGAGCCTGGGGCTCGGGGGAGATCTGGGTGGGAAATTTAGAAGGAGGCAGATCGTTAGAGACAGATATTGAGGGAGACGGAGTATTTTACCTCATGGCATCGTCAACGCTGGAGAATGGTTATTGCAGCTACAATGAGCACTCATCTCAATCTGCATCCCCTGGCTGTATGCAGAAATTCAGGCTCTACGAGACTGGATCGGTAATCATATTTTCTCTGTGGTTTTCTTTTGCTTTGATCTCAAGGTGATCTCCTTGAATTTTTGTCAATGTATAAGTGATGTTTGTTTATTGTTTGAATTAGCTCCTATTTCGTGTTTGAGAGTAGGGATTTGGAGGATTTGTCTGAGCTATATTTTTATGTAGTTTAATGGAAAAGTGTTGAATTAAGTTCCATTTAAGCATTTGCAAGGATATTAAAATGCTTTTGAATTAGCTCATATTTTGTGTTCTCTCTTTTTATCAATCGATTGTGTTCAAACTTTTGCTGTTTAAAGTGTTCATTTATAGCAACTTACAGGCTTGGTAACAATGTCTACAGAATTTTTACATGATTGGGAGGGACAAATCTAGAACTTATTGGAGAGTGCTAAAGATTGACAGGCTTAATCCATCTGAACTAAACATTCGCGAAGATTCTACTACATATTCAAAGAGTGAATGTTCTGAGTTATTGAGGCGGATACATGAAGGAAACAAACCTACCGGAGGATTGAAATTTGTCACAACCTGTTACGGGATTGTTGGTATGTGCAATGAAATTCATTCCGTCCTTTTAATCATTTTTTAGCATTTATGTGAATACTCATGCTGCTTCTCTTGTTCTAGGTTTCATCAAATTTTTGGGGCCTTACTACATGTTGCTTATTACGAGAAGAAGGCAGATAGGTGCAATTTGTGGTCACAATGTATATGCAGTTTCCAAGAGTGAGATGATTCCACTTCCAAATTCATCTGTTTGTGCTGGTATTGCAGATTCAAAGAATGAAAACAGGTGCTTGCCAAATCCTGCATGCTGATATATTTTGTCTGACTATAGGAAGTCATAAATATTATGCTGAAAGATATCTGTCCCTTAATGTGTTGAATAGAAACTATTGATGCTCTTATGAATTATTATTCTGCCTCTCTTGTTCCTTAGTATATGCATTTTGTGGTAAAATTTCAGTCATGATGGTGAGAATTAATACAATAATATAGTGTTGGATTGTTAAACTATTACAATTTCACCTTGCAAAAAAAATTTTTTTTTTTTTATGGTTTTTAATTTTTCTTTTTTAGTTTGG